AGGTCGATTAGCCCTAATGCGTATTCTTCAAATTACACTAGCACTTGCTACAAATGCTTTCGCAATTAATTAACGAGCCGTAAGGGAAGTGGAAAAGCAATTTGAAGCAGACGTGAAGCTTCGTCAGGAATGGGAACTTCAGGGTTTCCTGGAATAAGTCACCGCTACTCACCAGAGCCTACCAGAATGCATTCAGTCATGTGGGAGTGCCTGCGTTAATCCTCATGACAGTCTGTTGCATGCAGCTGGCTGCTACTACTATTATTAGTGATATGTTTATTGTCTCCATGAATACGTCCAGCTGCATGTTCTTCAACCAATGCATCCGACCGTCTAACAGGAGTTCAAGCGATCGATTCCAGGATTCGCACCATCAGCAGCTGCTGCTTCTCTGTCACCTGGCTGCATCCTCCAAGCATATCCCTCTTCTCAGGCGCAGCAGCAGACTTTGCAACGCGCCACTGGTTTGATTGCTCAACAACCGACTTCGATCACGTCAACGACGAGCCCACAACAGTAACGGCAGCAAAAAATGGCTGTTGCAGCTGCTGCCCATCTGCTTCTTCAGCAACAACAACAGCATCAAACCCATTTGCAATATCCCCAGCAACATTTCGGTACTTCTTCTGCCTCGCAATAGGTACACGATGTCACCTTGATGTGCTACCCTTCCGCTTATTCCAGTGGCGAGATTGCCGGTGTGCGCTTGAATGCAACGCTAGTTCAATCCCTGCTGACGCATTATCGCCCATCTAGATGGGCTGATCTGCCCGGAGGCCTCCAAGCTATGGAGCCACTGAAGGAGGCGCACATGATTACTCTGAGGCACCTTCTTTCCTGTGAACAGAGCTCGTGGGTTGCCAGACAAATGAGTGGAGTAAATGCACGCATGTACTTACATCAGTGTTTGTTGGCAACTGATGATGACGTGTTGATATGTCAATGACTTCGATTATTTTCTTGTCTACTGAAGGTGGCATGTCAGTGGATTCAGCTGCCCGATGGTGACCTTGAGCCTTCAAGTGCAAACATCCAACCGGCATCGCATGTGTCGCGAGTTGGACACCTATCCACGTTAACAACAAATGTAATGGCCAAGGTTGGTTTCCCGCGACCCATGTGGTTC